CAAATTTTAAAAAGGTTGTGTATTAAACATCAAACTCGTGAACGATAAATTATAAATATAAATTTAATTTTGACTTTTTACTTTTTCTTCTTAATGTACTTATATTAACTGAACTGAGTTTAAAAAAAAATTATTAACTTCTCCAGCTTTGGGTTATTGCACAAGTTACATAAGCACGAAGTTGTATTAAGAAATAACAATTTAATTTTAATCATCAATTTAAATGTGAAATGATTTATAGTTAGACAAAGGATTTCAAGTATCTAGTGGATAGCCAATGGCTGATGGATAAAATCTGGATATAAATCCAAGAGTTGTTTATTAAGAGGATGTCAGTGCAATATTTGTTTTCTCTCATGGACCCACGTCCCACACGCAATATACCTAGATGATACTCATTCATAAAATTGTTTTTAATGATTTTTCAGTAATCTTATTTGAATATTTATACTCTATGGAAATATTAATATCTAATAATAATAGAAAATATATTAAGTAGGTACATATAAATGTCTTTCTTTTACTAATACAACTTGTTTTATTGAATCTTAAGAAACATTTAAATACAATAATAAAAACTAAAATACTACCTTAAATTGTGGTGATATTAAAGTTGATTTATTTAATACTAATGATAATAACTCTAAATATTCAAATGTCTTATATAGGTACGTTTAATTTTTTATTAAACTTTCAATAACCAATTTGCATACAGAATTCTAGTAGTTTATGTATTTAACACGCATGTATATATTATATGTAAATAATGTAAGTATAAATAATATTTGTGTCTAAATTTTAAAATGTATTAAAGTACATTTTGGTACTATAGGTTGTCTAAATATTAATGATAGATTAAATAATAGCCATTCTAATTATAATAAACATTATAATTACATAGATCCGGTGTATAGAAACTATAACAATCTAAATCATTTAACTAGTACAATTAACTGGCAGTCTGGATTTGATAATATTAAATCAAATGTTGCTTTAGGTAGGTAAGTTCCTTAAAAAAAAATACAATTAATTTGTAAGTGTATATTCTACAATTCAACATAATAACAAGAAATGAAACAAATTTGAAATTTATAAGTTTAAAACCCTGGTCCACTAGAGGTTTAATAACTTTTATTAGGTTTACAGAAAACATTTAAAAAGTCAAGAATTATCCCTTTATATAAAAATAGCGAAGCAATAAGTTAAGCAATAATTACAGACCAATTTATTTAACAATAACAATTATAAAATCTACAAAAAATTTATAAAAAATAGATTAATTCAACTTTTTTAGTCACTTTTTAATAACTTACACACTTGTTTTCATGACGTATTTTAAGAGTAAATAAGTATTTTGTTTAACAATTTTGTTAATTATATTTAATTTTAATAGCTCAACACCCTTTTTAAAAATAATAATACAATAATTATATACAAATTTTTGGTAAGAACAATATGTGTGCTTAAGCGTTGCCGATTTTTCGAAATTTTCAGTTTCATATCAAGATATGGGCATGCAAAATATCAAAAATTAAAAATGCTCATATCTCGCTTGAAAATTGAAATATCGAATAAGATCCAACTCTCAAGCACCGATAATGTTATTATCTAAAAAATTGATAATATGTCAAATTAATCTAATATCAAAACTAAGAGCACAATATTGAAACTAGGGAACAAAAATTTTGCCATGTCGTGCGTGTGTAAGACGGAGAAAACAAATGTATGGGTAGCGTCGAGGACGTCACACCCGCATGTGTTGTCTCCGTCTTACAAATGTATAGGTACAACATAGCAAAAACTGTTTTGCGCGGGACAAATTTTCTCGCACCATAATTGTCGTAGAACTACCAAATTTTCACAACACGTAAAGAAGAACTTTATCTTTTAGATTCTGAGTGGAACGATGAATGTATTGATTTTACAATGATGTGTGTTTTTTTTTTAATTTTTTTTTATTTTTTTTTTTATTTTTTTGTGTCTGTGTACACGATAAGTAGTCGAAATAATGATTCGATTTTCAACTTCAGTATCTTGTTCGATTGGAAAGTGAATATCGTTGGCTCATTGAGAAGGTCAAAATTTAAAATTCCCAGTAATTTTCAAAAGCGCCAAGAAAAACCAAAGAAAAATTAAGGAAAACGGGAATTTTTACGCAAAATCGATTTTTTACAAAATTGAATTTGGTTTTTGGTGTAACTCTAAAAAAAATGACCGTAGAAACATGAAATTTTCACTGATTGTTTATATTTGCATTTTCTATACACGATAACATTTTCAAAATATTTTGATTTATTTTGAACTGTTTAGGAATATTTTCATTTTCCATTTTTTTTTTTTTTTTTTTTCTAGAAATATCAATAAAATTTTATTTGTTGGTTTTATCTAAGATTTTATTTGTTGGTTTTATCTAAGATTTTAAAATGTAATACAAGATTCCTTATAAGATCAACTACATTTATCAAAAAAAGAATGTCAATAAGAAAGTCAAATTAAATTTTTATGAGCGTTTGAAATTCACATTTTTACAACATTGGATATTCACTCGATTTCTCATGTAATGGTTTTCTTATTTTCTTGTACTTCAAGAACAAATAACTGTAGATACATGAAAATTTCACTGAATGTTTATATTAGCATTTCCTATATACCATACAATTTTGAAAATATTTTGACTCTTTTTGAGATGTTTACGGACATTTTCAGTTTCCAATTTTTTTAGTTTTTTTTTCTATAAATATCAATAAGGTTTTATCTGTTGGGCCAAAAAGTGTAAAAATTTAATACAAGGCTCCTGATATATTGTTACAATATCAGTTGAAAAATATTTAAAATACATAAGCACAATTTTTTTTTATAAGCATTTAAAGATCGAATTTTACAAAATCTCGAAAATTATCAATCATTGTAATTAATAAATTATAAAATGTTCAGTTTTTATAGCTAAGGATTGCAAATTTAAAACAAAGGTTCTCATAAGTAGTTCATACTGTAACCAAAAAATCTAAAAAATATATGAACACAGTTATTTTTTACAGACATTTTAAATTCAAATTTGGACGAAATTACATAATAAAAAACGTAGAATAACTATTTTAGTTATTTTTTTGTGATTGTATAATATTATTCGTTTGTACTTGAAACTTCTAAAGTATACTAGTATACTACTATACCTATATCTATGTCCTATGATAGTATCATTGTTTTTTGTTGGTGTATAACGCGTTATAAGTACCTAATGGATATTGTGATATGATTAATTTGGAATTCATAATAGGTAAATTTGTTTTAATACCATAGGTAAGTATATAATATGTCTTATACCTAGAAGGACATTCCGTCTCCGCTTAGAATCGTTTTTCTTATACAATGTTAGGTATAATATCATTGAATTCATATGTAATACCATCCATTATACAGTTACCCACTTCTTACCTACTGTACAGCAGAGCGACACCCACTTGCCCACCGTTTTTTTTTAATAACACTGTCCAATGATTGGATTCCAATCATTTTTTGTAAGCAAATGAAAAAAACCATAAAACCAAATGTTTTTGGAGCAAATGACTTTTATTGTAATTATGTATTGTAAAATATAAGCACTCTGTTGCATAGTTAATTTTCTAGCCTATATGTTCCGCAATTTTGGAGTCAATACTACAAACACGGAAAGATAAAAGTAAGTTGTGCCGCGCAAAACAGTTTTTGCCGTGTCGTTCGTGTGTGAGACGGAGTTAACACGTGTGAGTGTGACGTCCTTACTCGATCTGCCGAGCGTAAATTTGCCATGTCATGCACTCGTAAGACGGAGACAACAAGTGTCCGTGTAGCGTCCTCTCAAACTATAGTGACTTGTATATTTTGATTTCGACGTGCCGGTCTTATCACAATAAATAAAATTGTGAATAACGATAGATAATAATAATATAATATGTATTATCTATGGAATAACACGATACCTAGTATCACCAGAGAGCCATTTTAAATAATTCTCATATAAATTATAATTTATAATTATATTATAATTATAAATTATTATCTAGGCTCTCTAACTATCACTGTTATACGCAATTTACCGTCCCCGCACCACCGAACACCGCCGACCCCGTGTCGTGTACTCGTGTGTCTACGGAAATGTCGTATTATATTATTCTTATCGTGCGCAGAATGTCGTTGTCGTATCGCTTTTGCGGCGGCCTAATGCCTAAACCGTGCCGAATTCAGTTTTTTTTGTAGGGGGCGAACGACAAGAATGTTAGCTTACAGAATATTACGATATAATAATCATCATGACAAGTTATTAATTTGTCATGATAATCATAATGCATGTATACACACACATGTATTGATGTATATACACGTCATATATACAGAACGGATGTTTCACGAAACAGACCGAACGCCGCGTCCGAACAGATGACGCGATAACAGCAATGATAATATTATTATCGTTGAGCATTTATAAAATTATTGCGCGTTATGTAATAATGTTATTCGGTACAGTGAATATTTACGTAGCGCGATAAAAAAAAAACCCGTCTTAATTATTTTATCTTGCTACGCAGTTGACCGTAACAGTGTTGTTGTGGTAGGACAGTCCGCCGCAGTGTCGTAGTAGCCGTCGTGACTGTACCGACTCGAAACATTTTTATTTCGTCCCGACCGGATCGACTCCGTCACGACAGTAATATTACTGTACCTAGTAGTACACTGTAGTTGTAGTGCGTCTGTCGGCTGATCGACTTTATGCAGTCGCGGAGGTCGTCCGCAGAACAAAGCGCGTCCGTAAATGTCGCTGATATTACGTAATGAGTTCCTTTGTTCGGTAAACAAAAACGTTGAACGTTTACGTGGTATTATTATTATATCGTTATTAAATAGGCAATAATATTGTCGTTTTCGTATCGACACCGTCGCGTCGCTCGTATAACTCGACGTACCCGTCGCCGAACACAACGACTCGTAGAAAAGCGACTCTGGCAGTCGACCGAAACACCGACATGGAAACCGTGAGTACACTCCACGATTTCGGGTTTCGTATAGGCAGCCGTCGGTTGTTAACGCGTGCGATTGTTGCAGGACGGCGAGAGTGCGTCCGTGGTGGCACTGGCGGGCAGCATCCAGGAACCGGAGATGGACGACGGTGCGGTGCAAGTCATCGAGCCCAGTGACAAGACCAAGTTCAGGCTGACTTTGGAGCCCATCATGATGCTGTTGCTCCTGGGAGTGAATGTCAGCAGTGAGTGCTTTTGTCGTTTGACCGTACCCAGTACCTATATTGTTGTGAACAAAAGTTGTGTTCTTGGTCAGAGTTAACAGTAATATATTATTAAGATAATGTCAGAGCACTGTTTGTTTTCTCTATCCGGCACACGTATTCCCACATAATATATACATTTTTTTCATGTTTTCGAGTAATCGTGGAGTAACAGATATCAATATTTCTGAGGATATTACATAGTGGTATGTCGAAATATTGTCCCATTAAACCATAATATTATGTTTTGAATATAATATTATGTTCAAAAAATAGCATAATACCTACCTACTATTTACTTATCACTCATATTTATTCACAGATAATACCTACCTGTTATCAAAACACCATATTATTATGTTTTGAATATAATATTATATTCAATAAATAGTATAATAACTACCTACTATAATAATATAATAATTAGTAATTGCTATAATATTATAATAATTATAGTTAAAATTGCAGTAAAATTAAAAAAATCGCCAAAATTGCTTTTTTTCAATATAGTTTTAGATTACAATGATGTGTGTTTTTTTTTATTTTTTATTTTAATTTTTTTTGTGTCTGTCATCACGTTTTAGAACAGTAAAAATGCTTGGATATTCTTCAACAGTAGCTTTTCTGATAGGAAAGTGAATCTAGTTGGTACTTTGTGGGGGCCAAAAGTAAAAATTTACTAGTAGTTTTTACAAGCGCCGGGAAAAACAACATAAAAATTAAGGAAAAACGGGAATTTTTAAGCAAAATCGGTTTTCAAAAAATCGATTTTGGTTTTTGGTGTAACTTTAAAACAAATTACCGTAGATAAGTGAAATTTTCACATGTTGTTTATATTTGCATTTTCTATACACGATAACATCTTCAAAATGTTTTGATTTATTTTGAACTGTTTAGTTACATTTTCATTTTCCATTTTTTTTTAGTTTTTTTTCTAAAAATATCAATAAAATGTTATTAATTGGTTGCGAAAGCTTGAAAATTGAATAGAAGGCTCCTAGTATATTGCTTCAAAGGCAGATGAAAAATATTAAAAATCCTTAGTCACAATTTTTTTTATAAGCATTTAAAGTTCAAAAATTGACAAAATATGGAAGAATCACGAAAATTAGTAAATTATTTTGAGTTAAGATTCGTAAAAATTTTTCTTTTTAAATCTAAGATTTGAAAATTGAATACAAGATTCCTTATAAGATTATCTACCTTTATCAAAAAAAAAATGTCTTTAAGAAAGTCAAATTAAATTTTTATGAGCGTTTGAAATTCAAATTTTTACAACATAGGATATTCACTCGATTTCTCATGTAGCGATTTCCTTATTTTGTTGTAATTCAAAAACGAATAACCGTAGACACATGAAAATTTTACTGAATGTTTATATTAGCATTTCCTATACACCATACACTTTTGAAAATATTTTGACTCCCTTTGAGCTGTTTACGGACAATTACAGTTTACAATTTTTTTAGTTTTTTTTTTTTATAAATATCAATATAGTCTTATCTGTTGGGCCAAAAAGTGCAAAAATGTAATACAAGGCTCCTAATATATTGTTACAATATAAGTTGAAAAATATTAAAAATACATAAGCACAATTTTTGTTTATAAACATTAAAAGATCGAATTTTGACAAAATTTATCAAATTTAATATTGAATAATTATTTTTTAGTTAAAAATTTATAAAATGTTCAACTTTTATATCTAAAGATTGAAAATTTAAAGCAAGATTCCAAGTGAGTAGTTGATTCTGTTACCAAAAAATCTAAAAAAAACATAAGCAAATTTTATTTTTATAGTCATTTTAAGTTCAAATTTTGACAAAATTATATAATTAAAAACCTAAAATAACTATTTTAGTTATTTTGTTGTGATTTTGTAATATTATTCGTGGGTACTTGATACTTCTAAAGTACACTTTTATATATCTATGATAGTATCAGGGTTTGTTGTTGATGTATAATAACAAGTTATAAGTACCTAATGGCTATTATGATATGATCAATTTGGAATTTATTATAGGTACAATCTTTTTTTTACTATATATAAGTACTTATATAATATGTCTTATACCCAGACTGACATAAAATCTCCGCTCGGAATCGTTTTTCTCGTACAATTATATTATATCATTGAATTCAAATTTAATACTATCCATTATACAGTGACCCACTTGTAACCTACTTACCTACTGTACAGCAGAGCACCTTTTTTCAGTTTTTTTTTTCTATAAATATCAATAAACTTTATCTGTTGGGCCAAAAAGTGTAAAAATTTAATATAAGGCTCCTAATATATTGTTACAATAGCAGTTGAAAAATGGTAAAAATACATAAGCACAATTTTTTATTATAGGGATTTAAATATCGAATTTTGACAAAATTTATCAAAAGCTCGAAAATTTTTAAACATTGTAATTAATAAATTATAAAATGTTCAGTTTTTATAGCTAAGAATTGCAAATTTCAAACAAACGTTCTCATAAATAGTTCATACTGTAACCAACAAATCTACAAATAAATGAACACAATTATTTTATACAGACATTTTAAATTCAAATTTGGACGAAATTACATGTTAAAATCAATATTAACGATCTTGGTTTTTTATTGTAATTTAAAAATATGATTCGGGGATATATTGAACTTAAAAATCAAGAAATCAAAATATTATGGCTTATCCATATAATCTACCATAGTATAAGAAATAAGAAGTATGCTCAATGATAAGACTGTGCATATTTTTAACAATGAAATAACATTCTTGACTCAATTAGTCGACTTGTAATTATTACTATTACATATTTAGTAAATAAACCACAAGGTAAAGGTAGTATTTTTATGATTAAGATTGAGTTCCTTACAGTTTTTTATAACAATTTCCGAACGTTTTATAATATGTTGTGCCAAAAAGTGTAAAAAATTAATACAAGGCTGCTGATATATTGTTACAATATTAGTTGAAAAATATTAAAAATACATATTCACAATTTTTTTTTATAAGCATTTAAAGATCAAATTTTGACAAAATTTATCAAAATCTCGAAAATTATCAATCATTGTAATTAATAAATTATAAAATGTTCAGTTTTTATAGCTAAGGATTGCAAATTTAAAACAAAGGTTCTCATAAATAGTTCATACTGTAACCAAAAAATCTAAAAAATGTATGTACACACATATTAAACCTGTGGTTTTAAATAACTTAAAATTTAACTTGTTAATTAGAAGTAACTTCTAAAACAAAAGTAACTTTGTTATGTAACTTAGTTAAAAGTAACTTAACTTTTTAACTTACCTTTAAGTTTTTAACTCGTAAAACCCAGCCTTCAGGATATTCAGTATAAGGTCTATTATATTTATATATAATCGTGATACCCCCTTGTTGTCACTATTATTTAATTTATTCTGCTGACATAGGTACATAATATCTAATAAATATTATCGTATTACACTGCATTGTGTGTAGTTATATTTTATTCTTTATATGAAACTTATTTTGTTATAATAAGTTATTTTAATAACCTTAGTCGTCCCTAATATTTTTGAAGCATGACCATTGTTAGATAAGATTATTCTCTGACATCCTCTTAACAAACAACTCTTGGATTTATATCCAGTTTTTATTCATCAGCCATTGGCTATCCACTAGAAATCCTTTGCCTAACTATAATTAATTTCACATTTAAATAAATGATTAAAATTAAATTGTTATTTCTTAAAACAATTTTGTGTTTATGTAACTTGTGCAAGTTAAGAAAAAAAAGTTAAAAATAAATTTAATTTTTTTGTTACTGAGTTTGATGTTTAATACACATTTGTGACATTAAACATGACATGGTTGTAGATAATCCTTTTCTAAAGTATAGGCGCAACTAGAGGCTAAACACTGGGGGTGCTAAAATTATGTAGAGAACACAAACCCGGGGGGGGGGGGGCTACGCCCCCACACCCCAAAATAACATACTCTGATTTTATAATTACTATAACCATTCCTAAATGCACCATGAACACATAAGGACACTTATATTTAAGTAAATCAACAGTAATATACCTGATGAATACATGAGGTATATTATATTATTTAGGTGATAAAAATAGTAAACTATAAGTGTAAATAGATAAAAAAAAATGTGGTCAAGTGGGTACCGCTTTGCTATACAATAGTTGTTGAGAATGTCGTTGTAATATATGTGTTATATTTGAATTCAATTTGAAAAATTTTCTCATAAATAGTTCATAAAAAGTCAAAAGTGTTTAAAGAATTTATGATGTATGGAAAATGCTATTATAAATATTTGGTGAACATTTTAAGAGTCTACGGTTATTCATTTTGGAAATACAACAAAATCCAAAAAATCGATTAATGGGAATTCGATTTACCCCTGAATATCGAATATCGTGACAATTATAAGTTCGAACACTCATAAAAAGTTCAAGTTTAAGAATACGTTTTTTTTATAGGTAGACAAACTTATGTGAAATCTTTTATTAATATTTTTAATGTTGGGCCTTAACTGTGAAAAGAAAATATTTTATGATTTGCTAACTGAAAAATAATTAAAAATATTTGAAAAATTTCTCAGTTATAAATACCTCAAAAAGAGTCAAAATTGTTTGAACATTTTGCCATGTAAGGAAAATTTTAATTTTAAAATTTGATAAAAATTTCAAGTATCTAAGATTATTCGTTTTTAAATTACAACAAAATATCAAAAATTAATAGATGAAATTTCGTTAATTTACTGATAAATTGAATGTTGAACACATTTTAGATTCAAACGCTCATAAAAAATATATGTTACTTTCCAGTAAACTTTTATTTTTGTTTAAGATAGAACCAATTGTGAGGAGTCTTCTATCAACATTTATAATGTTAGCTATGAAAGGAAAAACTTTTATAAATTTCTAACTAAAAATTTCCAAAAAAAATTGAAGAATTCTAAATTCTAATATTTGATATACCTATAATCATTACAAACAATAATTTGTGTTTCTTGCTAAAATTGAAGAAATAAAAAAAACCCCTTAAGTAAAGCTAAAAAAACTATTTTTTTCTTATGATTTTTCAATTTTTGCTGTTTTTGAACTGCACCCCCTAGTTGCGCCTATGTTCTAAAGCCAAACTGATTATTACTAAAAAAAAAACTGTATTTATCTAAAAATTGAATTAATCTATCTAATACATTTTACTAATTGTTATTGTTAAATCAATTGGTCTGTAATTATTGCTTAACTTTGCTTCACCATTTTTAAATAAAGAGACAATTAGTGACTTTTTAAATGTTTTCTGTAAATCTAATGAAAGTTATTAAACCTCTAGTGGTCCAGGATTTTAATTTTATAAATTTGTTTCATTTCTTGTTATTATATAGTAGAATATAAAGGCACAAATATTTGTATTTTTTTAAGGAACTTATCTAAAGCAACATTAAGTTTTAGATTATCAAATACAGACTGCCAGTTAATAGTACTAAATAAATGATTTAGGTTGTTATAGTTTCTATACAACAAATCTAGGTTATTATCATAACTATTGTAATTAGAATGGCTATTCTTTAATCTATCATTAATATTTAAACAACCTATAGTACAAAAATGGACTGTAATACATTTTAAAATTTAGGCACAAATATTATTTTTGTTTACATTATTTATATGTAATATATACATGTGTATGTTAAATACAGAAACTACTAGAATTCTGTATGCAAATTAGTTCATTGAAAGCAAGATTGAAAATGTAATAAAAAATTAAACGTATCTAAGACATTTGAATATTTAGAGAGATTATCATTAGTATTAAACAAATCAACATTAATATCACCACAATTTAAGGTAGTATTTTTATTTTAGATTCTGAGTGAAACGATGAATGTGGTAGCTTTTCTGATAGGAAAGTGAATCTAGTTGGTACTTTGGGGGGGCCAAAAGTAAAATTTTACTAGTAGTTTTCACAAGCGCCGGGAAAAACAACATACAAATTAAGGAAAAACGGAAATTTTTGCGCAAAATCGGTTTTCCAAAAAATCGATTTTGGTTTTTGGTGTAACTCTAAAAGAAATGAACGTATGTACATGAAATTTTCACTGGTTGTTTATATTTTCATTTTCTATACACGATAACATTTTCAAAATATTTTGATTTATTTTGAACTGTTTAGGGACATTTTCATTTTCCATTTTTTTTAGTTTTTTTCTAAAAATATCAATAACATTTTATTTGTTAGGTTAAAAAGCTTGACAATTTAATACAAGGCTCCTAGTATATTGTTTCAAAGGCAGATAAAAAATATTAAAAATCCTTAGTCACAATTTTTTTTTATAAGCATTTAAAGTTCAAAAATTGACAAAATATGGAAAAATCACTAAAATTAGCAGATTATTTTGAGTTAAGAATTCGTAAAAATTTTTCTTTTTAAATCTAAGATTTGAAAATGTAATACAAAATTCCTTATAAAATTATCTACTTTTATCAAAAAAAAAAATGTCTATAAAAAAGTCAAATTAAATTTTTATGAGCGTATGAAATTCAAATTTTTACAACATTGGATATTCACTCGATTTCTCATGTAGCGATTTCCTTATTTTGTTGTAATTCAAAAACAAATAACTGTAGATACATAAAATATTCACTGATGTTTAAATTAGCATTTCCTATACACCATACAATTTTGAAAATATTTTGACTCTTTTTGCGCTATTTACGGACATTTACCGCTTTCAATTTTTTTTGGTTTTTTTTTCTATAAATATCAATAAAGTTTTACTGTTGGGCCAAAGAGAGTAAAAATTTAATACAAGGCTCCTGATATATTGTTACAATATCAGTTGAAAAATATTAAAAATACATAGGCTCAGTTTTTTTTTTTTATAAGCATTTAAAGATCGAATTTTGACAAAATTTATCAAAATCTCGAAAATTATCAATCATTGTAATTAATAAATTATAAAATGTTGAGTTTTTATAGCTAAGGATTGCAAATTTAAAACAAAGGTTCTCATAAATAGTTCATACTGTAACCAAAAAATCTAAAAAATGTATGTACACAGTTATTTTTTACAGACATTTTAAATTCAAATTGGGACGAAATTACATAATAAAAAAACCTATAAAAACCTATAAAAACTATTTTAGTTATTTTGTTGTGATTGTATAATATTATTCATGGGTACTTGAAACTTCTAAAGTATACTTCTATATATCTATGATAGTATCACAGTTTTTGTTGATGTATAAAGCATTATAAGTACCTAATGGATATTATGATATGATTAATTTGGAATTTTTTATATGTACCTATTATAGGTCAAATATTGGTTTAGTACCATAGATATGTATATAATATGTCTTATACCTAGACTGACATACCGTCTCCGCTCAGAATCGTTTTTCTTATACAATGATATTATATCATTGAATTCAAATTTAATATCATCCATTATACAGTGACCCACTTGTAACCTACTGTACAGCAGAGCGACACCCACTTGCCCACCTTTTTATTATTCAATTTAAATGTTTCTAAAGTTTCAATAATATAAGTATTTATAATAATTATAATTGTAAAAGAAAGACATTTTTATATACCAAATCAATTTTCTTTTATATTTGGATATTAATATTTCCATAGAGTAGATATTCAAATAAGATTACTGAAAAATTATTAAAAACAATTTTACATGTAGGTTTATTATCTTATTATCCTTATTGCGTATGAGTGTATGAGAGAAAACAAATATTGTACCGACATAATGTTAATAAACAACTCTTTGATTTATATCCAGATTTTATCCATCAGCCATTGGCTATCCACTAGAAATCCTTTGCCTAACTATAAATCATTTCACATTTAAATGGATGATTAAAATTAAATTGTTATTTCTTAATACAACTTCAGGTTTATGTCACTTGTGCAATAACCCAAAGCTGGACAAGTTCATATATTTTTTTTTTAACTCAGTTCAGTTAATATGCATTAAGAAGAAAAAGTTAAAAATTATTAAAATATAAATTTAATTTTTGGTTACTGAGCTTAAAATTTAATACACAATTTTTTTTAAACTTTTAAATTTATAAGTTGAAAAAATATTTAATTTGTTTACCAATTCAAAACTATATAGTGTTTATACAGTTTTAGATTAAATATATTTAACAAAATTGTTAAACAAAATACATAATTACTATTAAAATATGCCATGAGAACAAATGTGTATGTTATTGAAAAGTTAGAGAAAGTGCTTGATGAAATATTGTTACAACTATGATTTTGGTCTATGGAATGAAAAGCTTTATGATATATATTCCTAAGACTTTATTATCATTATTAATATTCTCATAAATATACTTTGTGACATTAAACATGACATGGTTGGTAGATAATCCTTTTCTAAAGCCAAACTGATTATTACTAAAAAAAAACTGTATTCATCTAAAAATTGAATTAATCTATCTAATACATTTTACTAATTGTTATTGTTAAATCAATTGGTCTGTAATTATTGCTCAACTTTACTTCACCATTTTTAAATAAATGGACAATTAGTGACTTTTTAAATATTTTCTGTATATCTAAATAATAATAGTTATTAAACCTCTAATGGTCCAGGGTTTTAATTTTATAAATTTGTTTCATTTCTTGTTATTATTTTGAATTGTAGAATATAAAGGTACAAATATTTGTATTTTTTTAAGGAACTTATCTAAAGCAACACTTAAATTTATCAAATAAAGACTGCCAGTTAATAGTACTAATTAAATGATTTAGGTTGTTATAGTTTCTATACAACAAATCTACGTTATTATCATGATTATTATAATAAATTAGAATGGTTATTATTTTATCTATCATTAATATTAAAACAACCTATAGTACCAAAATGTACTGTAATACAATTTAAAATATAGGCACAAATATCATTATTATTATTTTACATATGTATATAATATGTGTGTGTGTTAAATACATGAACTACTAGAATTTTGTACTCAAATTGGTTCATTGATAGTTTAATAAAAAATTAAACGTATCTAAGACATTTTAATATTTAGAAATATTATATAAGAATTATAAATAAATCAATATTAATATCACCGCAAATTAAAGAAGTATTTTTATTTTTTTATTGAATACATATATTTCGAAAGATTCAATAAAATAAGTTGCAACCTCTCACCAAACAACTCGTTGATTTATGACCCGTTTTTTCTATCAGCCATTGGCTGTCTTCTAGAAGTCCTTTGCTTAACTATAAATCATTTATATTAGATAATTAAAATGAAATTGTTATTTCTTTATACAGCTTTGTGTTTATGTAATTTGTGCAATAACCCAAAGCTGGACAAGTCAATGATTTTTTTTAAAACTCTGTTCAGTTAATATGCATTAATAAGAAAAAGTTCAAAGTTAAATATGCATTTTTGGTTACTTAACTGAGTTAAGTTGATGTTTAATACATAATTTTTTTAAAGTTTTAAATTTATTAAGTTGAAAAAATATTTAATTTTTTTACCAATACAAAACTATATAGTGTTTACAATACTTCATTGAAGTAAGGAATTCACACATATTACTTGAAATATTATTTAACATAAAACAAAATTGAAATCGAAATAAACTAAATTAACTTCTAATCTTAAAATAAACATTTAATTAGTATTAAAAAGTGCTAAGTTCAAATGTTTAAATAAAATTAACTTTTTAACTCGTTTACGCCCATCCTTGCCATAACCTAACATGTGATATAAAGTGATCAACACTTTATTCATAGAAAATCTGTTAAATTTAATTTATGATTTTAGTGATGGTGCAGACTAACCTAATCGAAGAACGTGTATGCCTCCATAGTGATCTCGGAAAAAATAAATCTGTGGATTGTTACAATATGACTGCTGCAGAACAAGAAATAGTTCAGCCGGCTGTGGCAGATTTGCAGATGATTAAAAATCTAATCGAAACATTGGTGCCTTGTGTAACAGCATTGTTTTTAGGTCCATGGAGTGATATAAACGGTCGTTTGCCATTGTTTTTAGCAGCTATCTCAGGTGAGAAATAATTGTACAAATATTTACTTGTGTATATTAATTGAAATTATGATAATTTAAAATTGAAGGTATGGTAGTCTCTAACTGTATGTACTGTGTGTTTTCTACAATGCCTAGTCTACCTCCAATAATGTTTTTGCTGTGCAGCATACCTGTTGCCGTAAGTGGTGGTGGTGGTGCACTGTTTATAGCTTCATTTTGTTATATTGTTGACATTACTGATTTCAAAACCAGAGCTTTCAGGTAATAAATTTCAAATATTGGATTAAAAAGTTAAAGCAATTTAAGATTTAATCAACATTTTGTATTTTATATATAATGTAATAATGTAGAACATTATCAAGTCGTAATGTTTCAATAACAAAATTACAAAACTATAAATACATATCACCAAATCACCGTTTAACTATAAGATTTTATAAATTGTTTATCAAATGTACTAATTACTTGTGATGACATTATTTAAAAGTAATCAATTTGTAAATGTTTAGTTTATTGTAACTTAATAATTTATTTTTATTACAGATTAGGAGTATTGCAAACATTTATATCTTTTGGCTCAATTATTGGATCATTACTAAGTCCTATGTTGTATAGCAAATCGCCTACTTATGCTTTTGCCTTAAGTGCAATGTTCACAATAGCTGGCCTTCTTTACACATCTCTTTTCCTCAAAGAAACTGTTGTCATAAAAAAAGTATGTATTTTATCAATTTTTATATTTTCTAAATTAAAAGTAGAAATAAGGTTCAAGTTGAAGCATTTGATTTTTAGATTCTGTGCTTGGTAAGAAATGTATGGTTTTGTAATTAGTACATTTTTATTTGTTTTCGTTTATTTACAGGGTATAAATACAAAACTTTTCAACCTTGATCTAGTAAAAAGTATGTGGGAAACCGTTATGAAAAAGCGATTTGGATTTTTGAGATGCATAATAATTCTGTCTGCTGTGGTATTAACTTTTAATTTAGCTATTGTATTAGGCAAGTACTTAACTTATTTATTTACTATCAATAATAAATTATAATAAAATATTCCTAAAAACATTGTTCAGTATAATTACCAATTAAAACTTATGTAGTCCAATATTGAATATTTTTTTTAGGTGAAGATTCGTTGATGTATATGTACTTACAAAAACAATTTTCATGGACTTTAGAAAATTATACTTTGTTTAATGCTTATGCAACTTTATTAAGTGGTTTGTTATTTTATTTTAGTAAATATTTTATGTAATATAAGACATAAACTAAGTATTTATTTATTATTTTAGCTAGTATTCCTGCAATCGGGTTGTATGTGTTGAGCACTAAACTTGAAATACCAGACATGTATCTTGCTACTGCTGCTACAGGACTACGAATTATAGAAAAAGTTGGGTTAGCATACTCACAATATACATGGCAATTTTATTTGGTGAAGATTTTTGGTTGTGTGGTATTGACCAGTGAACCACTAGTTCGGTCTCAATTGTCTAAGAGTTTTCCACCTGAAGATTTAGGTAAATTTCAAAAAATCAAAATAATTATAGCCATTCTTAAATTTGTTTATTGTTTATAATAATAATAATAATAATTTGCAGGCAAAATATATGCGTTCATAAGCGTGATTGAAGGTTTTGGTACATTACTCGGTTCTCCAATGTATACCACAGCATATAATATGACAATCCATAATTTTGCCAATTTCATATTTCTCCTATCATCAATATTTGGCACATTTGTTTTAGGTTTATACATGTAAGTTATTTCCAATTCAAATAGATTACAATTTTTAATTTTTTAGATAAAAAACATTTATAAACATTTTTTTGTAATTTGTTCAAAAATAGTAGTGGTTATAGGGAGTTATAGCATAGCCCCCGTTTAATTTTTACTGGTTACTCAATTTTGTTTTAAAGGTATCCAAGCAATCGAGTCAAACCTAGATTACAAAAATCATTGTGCAATTGTGGGTAAAAATTAAACTATCTTTGAATAGTTTTAATTTTTAATATTTACAAAAATCTTGTTAGAAAATAGCCAATTGAAGGAAAATGTTTGATTTATTATTAAACATTCTTAAATGGCGATGATGACTTTCATCTGTGGTCCCTTTTCAATTTGCTTTTTCTTATACTATTCTCTAGTGTCTATTACCATTGACTATGAAATTCTCTGTGCAGATAACAGTATAAAGTTTCTACCAAATAATGATTAAATTAAATCCCCCTTACTTCTACCCTAATTTTTTTCCTTGCTATTTGTATACCTACTTACTAACTGATTATCTTCTGTAGTACTTGACGTATTTATAATTGAGATTTGTTAGACAAAGTTATTGTTAATTCTGCTTATCAACCTAATGCAATTTTTAATTTTTCAGAATTATATTATTCTTACTTTCAAGAAGTACCAAAACAGAAGATTTATTAATTATAAACTAATTATCGAACAATACATACAATTTTTTTTTAAATGTAAGGGTACCTATAGCGTTTTATATTGTTCATTTGGTAAAGATTTATTTAATTGAAATAAAATGTACACAATATTATATTATAGTTGAATACAATACTCGCTTTAAATTTAAAAACATGTTAACAAATTTTATTTTTTTTTTTTATTGATATTAAATTTTAATAAATATAATGATTGTAAGATCAATGATTATGCATGACATTAAAAACTTATTATTTAATATATTATAAGAAATTCTCAATTTTTGATACTCATGATAGATCTTATATTGTATCTGTGATCTTTTTGTACTATTTATGTTATGAAGGTTTTACCTAACAAATTTATGAAATGTCAGCTATGATTTTTTTATAAATTTAAATTTTTACACTTATTATTACTGATTTTATATTTATTGTACACAATAATATTATATTATATTTTTAATAATTTTTCTATTATATGTTTTATTTAATACACACATTCTATTTCTAATTAACTCAAAAATTTAGGTAAATCTTTCTTTCAGTTTTTTAATTATATATTTTTATCCATACAACTTAATTTACTAACACTTATTTTACTTCTTACATTTTGAGCTGCAGTGTTTCACAATCATTTTTAACGATACTTCTAAATTTCCAACAAATTGATAACACTGACTGGTATTTTCTCAGTTAGGTTTTGTTGTAACTTATGATTTATCTAAATAAATTGCAAAAATTATCTCTGAAATATCTTATTTTTAAAATATAAATTATAATTATAATAATACAGTGGATTAGTTCCAATTAACCGTTTACAGGGTGTAACAAGAATATTGACTCTTTTGCTACCCGTATAATAGAACGTTTTTATTTTTCAATATAAGTTTGTAAACCTGGATTTTTAAGTTTATCCTGTATTAAAAAACATTTAAATTAAAAATCATAAACTTATTAAAATATTTTATGAGAATTTTCAAATATCTAAATATGTATAGTTCAAATATTAATTACTATTCAAATAAGTTGCTTTGAAACTTTAAAAAATCATAAAACAAAAATCACTTGACTTAGATAATTGTTGTTATAATTAAATTTTCTAAAATGGAGTATTACAAGTGTATTAAAAAATTAAGAAATTAAAATGTTATAATATTATAATATAATATTATGATTATTATTTAATTATTAATTGATGATTAATATTATAATTAATTGTCAGTTAATTTTTTTTCTATTTATTTCATTGAAATATGCTACACATATAATATCACAATTTTATTTTTTTAATACAAATTTGTAAATCTGGATTCTAGAATATTTTATTGTAAAAACATTTATCTAAGTTGAATGGTTTATACTTTTATAATTTTTTTAATTAATAATAATAATAATAATAATAATAATAATTATATATTTCATCATCATATAAGAAAGAAAACTATACATGTACAAAATTAATTTTACATTTGATAAAAACCTCTCCAAAAAGAGAAGCCTGTGCTTGTAGTAGGTGAGTTCATAACAATGGAACACTAAATTGGTGTTTTACAATATGCCAATATGAATTACTATTAGTTAAAATATAATATACATACAAAATAATACTTATTATACAATCATAGGGTTACAACTTGTATAAGATCAAATTTATAGAAAATAAACATTATTTAGATCAATAATTGAATTAATATTATATTTTACGTGAATATTTTTTTAAATTTAAATTTAAATTATTTATATTTATTTAAAATGTCTATAGTTTTTGAAGAAAATAATTAATTGAAGTTAAAACTTTTAACAAAAAAAAATTTAGTTTTTGACAATTGCATACTTAAAAATTCTCATAAAATATTTATAAGAAGTTTATACTTTTTGGATTTAAAATGTCTTTTTAAGACTGGATCAACTTAACTTAATAAAAATAACTAATTTTAAAAAAAGTGTAAAAATTAACTACATGGCTCAAATAGATATTTGTATGGTTAAATTTTTTCTAAAAACCAGATTTAAAAATTGAGTACTTTGAATTTTTTAAAAAAAAATCTATATCAGATTTAAATATCTTTATCATCAGCATAAAAAATTAAAATTAAAAATATTGATTATGACAAGTTATTTAATTTGTCATGTTTTCCAGTTACTAAGGTACATTTCTAAATTCAAAATATTTTGTATTAAATCAGTAAGTTTAAATAATATATTTTTTTGTATAATTATTTTTGATGTATTTTTATAAATAAGTGATAAATATTGAAAAATTAATTTAGTCAAATAAACAGAATTTATGACATAATAATAATTATGTAACGATAAAAAGTAAACAAACTTATTATGCATACAATTAAAAATTAAATACAATTTTATTATTCATGTTATATTCAAAATTATTTTAACTGACATTGAACATGTATTAAACATAATAAAATTCACTGACCTGTTGTGTTTATCACAATTTTGTTTTTGTTTCATAAGTTAAATATAAAATGTCTTAAATAATTTATTATTTATTACATTGAACTGATAAATTGTAACTGTTTTAAAAGTGCCCAAATAAATCTAAGTAATTATATGTTTTTCTTAAAAAAAAATGATAGGACCAAAACAAATTTATTGTACACGGATTATAACAGAAAGACTAGACAAATGTAACAGCTAATAACTTTTATATTTTATATTTTTATTAATTTATTGACTCTTGCTCTACACATATAATATTACATATTTAATTATTTTTTTTATATTAAACTTAAAAATTATTTAAATTATTTTTTTTTGTGAAATTTAAAATAAATAATTTTTAAATCTGAGTCTCAGAAGAATTTTAATTGTAAAATATTAATTTAAGTTAAGTAGTTTTTAATTTTTTTAAAATATAACTTTGGTCAGAAAATAGTTATGTTATATTATAAATGTAGCAAAAGAGTCAAATAATTATTTATTAAAAATTTAAAATATTAATTACTACAAAATTAAATAACTTAAATTGTTCTAATTATTTATTTTTCGGTACAATTATATGAATAATGCTTCAATTATAATATAATATTTTTATAAAACATTTAAAAAAACATTTATTGAAGTTGAATGGTTTATATTTTTATGATTTTTTTAAAATAAGTAGGTTAGGATGTTATACCATATGCCAACATGAATAACTATTAGATAAATTATATTATATTTAGATCATAAAAAATAAAACTTATTATACGATCATAGCATTCCAACTCATATGAAATCGGAATTATATAAAATCAGCATTATTTAGATCTATTCAATAATTGCATTAATATTATATTTTTATTTTTAAATTTACTTATTTATATGTATTTAAAATGTTAATATTTTTTTAAGTAACTAATTAATATGACTAGCTAAACCTTTAATAAAAAAATTTAGTTTTTAACAATTACATACTTCAAAATGTTAAAATAAATATTTATAAGAACTTTATACTTTTTGAATTTAAAATGTATTTTTAAGACTGGCACAAAATAGTTTAATAAAAATAATGAAATTGACAAAACATGTAAAAATTAACTACAAGGCGTATGTAAATATTTTTATAGCTAAACATTTTCTAAAACCCAGATTTACAAATAGAGTATTTTGCATTTTTTAAAAAATAATATACATTATATTATATATAAACTTTATAAATCTAGTCAACTAAAAAGAATTTATTTTATAATGTTTAACACTCAAAAGTAATAAAAATTATTCATGTTATATTCAAAATTATTTTAACTGATACAAAATGTATTTTTAAGACTGGATTAACTTAATTTCAAAAAATGTAAAAATTAACTACATGGCCTAAGTAGATCTTTTTATTGGAAATTTTTCAGTATTTTGCATCTTTTAAAATAATATATATTATATTCAATATAATTTCTATAAATTTGGTCAACTAAAGAGAATTTATTTCATTATGTGTAACACTAAAAAAATATTCAATTTATTCATGTTATATCCGAAATTATTTTAACTGATTTTAAATATATTTTTAAGACTGGTTTAGCTTAATTTAGTAAAAACAACATAATTTCAAAAAAAATCAAAATAAACTAAATGAGACTCGATTAACTTAATTTCAAAAATTGTAAAAATTAACAACATTTGCTAAGTAGGTCTTTTTATTGTTAAACTTTTTCTAAAACTCAGATTTACATATAGAGTATTTTGCATTTTTTTTGAATAATAAATATTATATTCAATATAATTTCTATAAATTTAGTCTACTAAACAGGATTTATTTTATAATGTGTAACACTAAAAAGTAATTCAATT